ATATATATATATATATATATATACATACTGTATTTTATACACACATCAAAATTAAATCTTTCTCTAAAATAAAAGTGAAATCTGAAAATAGAAAAATAAACACTGATTCATGTTTTTTTAGATTTAAATGATAAGTTATTATAAAGTGAGTCATATTTATCATTTTACACAATATTACTGAATAAATAGATATATTTATATTATTAAAAATATAGTACTTAATAAAGCTTTTTTTTTTTTTTGAACCTATATAACCTAGTAGTAGGTTATATAGTATAAATTGTTACTATTTTCTTATACTTCAGTTTTTTTTATAGTTAAAAAAAAAAAACAGTTCAATAATTTTTTTATGACCGTTAAGTCAACATGTGGCGAATAAGTAAACCTGCGTTTCATTTTGCGGCAGTTAATTTATGTGTCGGGCCTGTTTTCTCAAGTTTCATAAATGTTCTGCCTCACTGACTAAAGTTTATGGCGTGTGCTTTATGCCATTGAGTTTATAGCCTAAAGTTTGCCCAAGCTTCACACTGAAACATTCAGGTTTTGCAAGGGCGAGTTTTTGTCTCCGCACTCGTCAATCAGGTTCGCCGTTCTGCCAGAAAGGCCCATATTCTTAGGTTTTTCCTCAGAACTGAGAGAAACAGGAAATAAACTGTCGTCTCCCGGCTGGCCAAACAAAACTTTCCCTGTGTGGAGCCATTTTAACAGTAGCGAGGCGTAATGGAGGCTCGGTGCTGCTGCTGGAGTGTGAATGAATCGTCGCATTGAGGGCATGGCCTCTCGCCCCCCTGACTGCGGCGGGATGGGGTGCGTTCGCTCTCTCATTGAGCCGGGACTTGCCTCCTCATCTAAACGCACGCTCAGCTGACACAATGCTCGGCTTTGCTGTTTTTCAGCACAGCTTACAAAACGCAAACAAAACAGAAGCTCGCTCCCGAACGTTCACGGCTCGCTTGCACTACACTGCTTTTCTCTGGGTTTGTCTTGCGTTTTATTTGCGCTAGCTTTTTCTCATCTGGCAGCTGACTTGTGGGTTTCATTTAAATGGGTTTGAATATCGGCGGACTCATCAGTCAGTGACACAATATGACGGTCCGGACGCACCGCATGACATCCCGACAGGAAATCAGTGGCCGCTTCTGTCTGAAGTATAAACAGCTGCCTCAGACTCGGTTTCTGCTTATCGTACAAACACCTACATGTTAGAAACTTCTCAACTTCAGCTTTATATTTCCTGTGGTGGGGATTTTATTTTCTGTGGTACATCACACAAGTAAACAAAGATGAGTAGAGAAGATTCAAATCATGTTAACTTGGTATTAACATCTGTCTTGAGTGATATGATCTCAGTACTATGTGTGATTTTGATTGACAGGTGAGTAGGCGGTCCTTCGCTGTCATCCGGGAAGCATCAGGATGCAATGGCAATGTGCTAATAATGTAAATTGGTCTGCGCAATTAATCAAATAAAAATCACGATATTGTGGTCGCAACGACGGCAGTTTAATTTAAGGGTTCATTTTATTTTCCTGCCAAAATAAAGGCTTGATGGTTTAATGTTTGAAAATGAGACAGCCATATGTCTGCCTCAGACTCAGACAAGCCATTTACAAAATGTTGTAATTTTACAGTTGTATGAAAAAATTATTATTGTTATTTTTTTAAATGCTATTTTTATTTATTATAAAAGTAATATTTATTGTTTATTTTTTATAGCAACAGTCATAATTATAATGAAAATAATGGGCATTATTATTATTATTATTATTATTGTTGTTGTTGTTGTTGTTGTTGTTGTTGAGTCATGGTTATATATTTTATAACTGAAAAAAAATACTCAAGTACACATTTTACAATCAATTAAATTTTATTTTAGATTATATTTAAACAAACAAACAAACAAACAAATAAATAAATAAATAAATAAATGAGTGTGCAGCAGGTTTAATATAGTTAACTAAAACTAAAATAAAAATAAATAAAAAAAAACAAAAAACTTTGTTACTTGAAATAAAATAAATGTCGATGGAAATAAAATATGAAATCTGTTATTTTATTTGTTTATTTTTAAAATTATTTTATTTCAGATAGTTTCTAAGGCAACATTTCTCATTTTTATTTAATTAACTTGATGTACTAAAAACCTCAAACTAAAACGGAAATAAACATTTATTAAAAACAATATATACATATTTAAAAACAACAAAAAACTAATAAAAATGGCAAAGACACACAATAAAATTACTAAAACTTTAACAAAAATTAGCCCGAAAGCAAACAATATTAACAAAAACTATAATAGTATCACCATGACACTTAAATAACACTGATGTGCAGATACTATTTACAAGCAAGCCATTTATAGATTGATTTCGTAAACATAATGAAATATATTAATAATAATAATAATAATTATTATTATTATTATTATTATTAAACCTAGATCAAACTTAGAGCTGTTTGGGGGTATTAAATAATAATAATAATAATAATAATAATAATAATAATAATAACAACACATAATCCTACATGTGGTCAGAACCATTATTTGCCATGTTAATACCAGGTGTAACAGTGTTTTTATCACTCACTTTAGAGGAAACATCCTCTGATATTTATTTTCAATGCACCAATTCATCTAATTCAGTAAACACAGTCTCAACGTTCAATTGTAACTGCAGCCGCGATGTATAAACAGCCGAAGCATGTGGCGGAAGGTAAAATGGTTGACTCAATATGTTGGTAGTCTAGGCTGAGTGAGTGTGCTTTCATTATAATAAAAACAGAGAGCTGCACATATGGCTGGTGGGATAAAAACTGAAAAAAAAAAACAGACAGGCAGAACATATTGGGTATTGAGGAAATTGTGAAGATCTTCCTTTTGTGAGTTTTATGGTGCTATTCAAGAACTCCTTTGCTCTGTTATATATCCTCTTGAGTTTTACAGCTGCTAGCTTAAGGGTGCGAGTGTGTGGATGTGTTGTGTGTACGTGTGGGAAGGGGAGCGGGTTGTCTTTCAAAAACACTTAGCTTTTCTTTCCCACCCAGCAAATACACGGCTAATTAAATCTAATTAGAGGAGGGCTGTCATAAATCTTTGACAATGCCTTCTGGATCACCCACAAAGCTGTTTCGCCTTTCTGCCGTCTTTTCACTGTTGATTAGCATGATAGCGTTTCTCCATTCCTGCACCCATGAATTTACCGCAATGCATTAATACCTATTAACAATATGGACAGTGACAGTTGTATGTTGCTTAGCTTGTCCTGCACAGTGTGAAATCACTTCCTCCCAAGGTTTTCCATTTAATTCTCTTATTTTTTGTTGCCTGTTGTTTAGGCAGTTCTTGTTCCTCAAACTGAGTGGATCTTTATTTTTTTGTTTTGCAGAAACACTGATGGACACCAAATGGGCCACCACTGAACTCGCATGGACCTCACATCCTGAAACTGGGGTGAGTTATTACTTTTGTGTGTTTGACTATGGTTAACCTGAGGCCATCATGCTTATATAATCCGCTCCTTCAATCAAAAAAAAAAAGTATACAGGGGTGAATCTACAAAAAATTATCTTTTTGACCTCAACATAAAATAAAGACCAGTATTTTATTATTTTATTATATTTATTCTGGAATTTTATTTTATTTTTTATTTTTTATTTGTTTTCTTTGTTTTTACTTTTTGTTTGTTTTGACTATTTTATTTTGGTTTCTTTGTTCCCCCTTTTTGTTTTGATTTGTTGTTTTGTTTTATTTTGAATGTATTTTGTTTCATCATTTTGTTTTGTTTTTCCTTTTTTGTTGCAACATTTTGTTTTGTTTTCATTTTTGTTTTATTTTCACTATTTTGTTTCATCATTTTGTTTTGTTTTTCCTTTTTTGTTTTGTTTTCACTATTTTGTTTCTTCATTTTTTCCCCTTTTTGTTTTGCATAATTTAGTTTTTACTTTATTTTACTATATATCCTCTTGAGTTTTACAGCTGCTATATAATGATTTTAGCAAATGGCTGCAATATAACAAAGAGTGAAAAATTTAAGGGGGTCTGAATACTTTCCGTACCCACTGTATATATATGTGTGTGTGTGTCAAATAAGCACATTTCCTCCAAATTTGTCACTACCATAATAATGATAATAATAATAATAAAAATAAATGAATAAATAAATAGAAAAATATATATTTTTTTGAATTACAAAAATGGGTTAGATTTTTAATTTTTTTTCCATTACAGTGATGACACGTACAAATGGGCTTAATTGTCATTAAAAATAATTTAAAAATACAAACTTATAAAATAGGCCTCATTTTCTTTAAGACAAAAGTAATTTCTTATTCTTTCCATTGAAACATTTCATTTGAGGGTTAAAAATGACTTGCACATGTTCATGACCGGTTTCATGCGATTTTCTCATAAATGTCGTAGTTACCGAATTTTAAATCAAGAGGTATTATAAGAGGTCCAGTTACAGTCTTGTTCAAATATAGTGTGTTAAACACAGGAAGCTCTACGTTTCATCAGATAAAAGCAATGCCCAGATCAGATTTCACCCTAGCCGTGTTACTTCATTCTCCAAAAGTGAAATCTGTGCCCACAAGCTTTTGGCAGACACAGCTGAAGTATCCTTCACTCGGTATATCTTTCACAATACCCAGACACTGCTGCCTTTTCTTACTTCTTTTGTTGGGATTTGTCTAATTCTTTGGGTCTTCACCTCTCTTCCTTATATCCTGTTCTTCATGTGTCCACTGCCCCCTTCTTGCCCCCAGCCACACCATCTCAGCTGTTGCAGTCACCCCTCCCCAAAACCTTTACTTCCGAGTAACTTAGCACCAATGCACCGAGGCACAAGAGCAGCCCCAAAGAAACAAATCAACTTGCATTTCACTTTCCCCGTCCATATATTATTCTTGTAAATATCCCTCCCACCCCCATTAATGCACTAAAACTCACCAGCACAATGGGCCCAAGAACAACCCCTTTACACCCCAACAGATGCCGCTTTTCAGAACATACATTGCCCAGTGCTTTCCCTTCTGCTCTCTGTCACGCATACCAGCCCACTGTATTTGAGGACAGACAGGGGAAATGTGGCAGCAGTGTCTCCTTGCCTTAAATTTCCCAGTGTTCTGGCCAATTTTTATTTCAATCCTCCTTCTGGAGCGAATCCCACAACAAATGTTATTTCAGACTAAAACTAAAATGAAAAATAGGATGTTTTGTAGGATAGGATGCTTTTTTTTCACTGCATAAAAATTCAGCATATTTTCACTCCAAGTTTTCATTTTTGTAATGCATTCAGACATTTTACTTTCTCATTTGATTCTCATGACTGTAAAACAATGTATTTTTGTTTTTGTTTAAATCTGCAAAAAATAAAGGCTATATACGAACAAACTAGCATGATCGATAAATTCTGTTAAATTTAAATCATATTTATTTAATAATTTATTTATAGCAGTTATGAGAATTCGGGTGAGGTGGGGGAGTGTGTTGCCTGCTTGTCATAATTAATTGTCTAAAAATATTTTTGGCAAAATATTATTTCTTATTTCTGTTGGGGTGAAATGTAATTTTGACAGTTTTTTTTTTTTTCAGCCACTGGCTTAATTGGCACCCTCCATATCTCTCTTTCCTACGGCACACTCGTTTCTAATTGTCTGTGACACTAAGTTCAATGGTATGTCACACCCCGAAAACCGAAATGGGAACTGTGCCCAGATAATAAAAACAGGGGCAAAAAGTTGGAATAAATCCCAGCCTGACACAGCAGTTCTTTTTCTCTTTCATTTAATCTGCCACAAAAAAAAGAAAAAAACCTCTATTAGTCATTAGTCTGACACCTGTAACCCGAGAAATAAATACAGATAAATACAGACTGTAACACCATTAAGGAAAAATAAATATAACGACCTGCTGTCGCTTAAACCTGACCCGCTAATTCTTCCAAGATAAACAAACCAAGGAAAAAAAAAAAAGCTGTAATGCACTTATATATTTATAAATACACCACATCATTCCACAGCAGCATCTGCGTCTAAAATAAATAAATTAATCTTTTTTTCCCAAAAAAATCAATGCAGCAGGGGAAAATTAATGTGCATAACTTTTCACATTGAATCTGAAGTGTGTACTTCCTCATATCAACGTTTAATATGCAGAAATAGCTTAAAGCCCTTCATAGGCTTATTTCTCTAAAAAAATTAGTTGAAAAGACATTGATTGGACATCTTATTCTTGGAAAGACGTATGTTTGTTGCACCACTATCCCTAAAGGAGTGCGATGTGTGGGCCACTTCCTCGTTCCCATCTTCACTCTCTCAGCAATTTATTCCACTGAACTAAATGCCCATTTACACCTCATTCTTTCTCCTGTCACATTGACCTGATGCTTATTATTGATCTCAGCACCCTTGGCTCAGAAAGGCAGTGATAAAGCAGAGACTTCTGGAAGCCCTGTCTGCCTCGGGTCCCCGGAGCCCATAGGGATGAATGGCCTGTCCACGCAACATCCATATCTCTGTGTTAATTAAAGACTTCACCTCTACACGAACACTACGCTCTCAACAAATCTCTCGATAGCTAGTTTTCTTTTTCCTTTTTGGCTACAGCTCATTCTCTCCTGTAGGATCGCTTTTTCTTGAACTCGCTGTAATCAAAAGAAGTGGGACGGTTTCCCAAGGTTGAGCGTGAATCTAATTGTTCCTTTACTGAAAGGAATATGAATCATTCCTTGTTGATATAGTATGCTGTTTGTTTAAACAAGCCGAGGATGATGTAAAAACCTTCATTAGCTGCCAAGATTGCTAGTAGGCGTTCTTACTCACTATTTAGTAGTTGTCGTGTCACATGGTTTTACCTCAAATGCAATCAACCTCTCTCACCTGTCTTTTCAAAAGATGTGTGCTCTTAATTTTGGTAGATAAGAAGGAAAGTATTTTGGTAGAGCATTGAATGTAGCTTGTTGATCTGCATGCATACAATGTAATCATGATGGTTTAATTGAAAGGTAATTGATTGTGAAGTGATGCAGAGAGTACTCCACACTCGAGTTATACGGTAAACATCCACTCGTCGTTTTATTCGATGGAGTTCTGACACTCCACGGTAATTTTGATGAATTTGCCAGGCAGGTTTCCTCATTGAACTGGCGAACACAGATGAAAGACCAGCGTGCAGCTCCCCACTTAATGACACCACGCACAATGTGTAATTGAAAAGGCACAAACCAAAAAGCATAAAATGTCATTTCCCCACTCTTTCATCCACCCCATTCACTCTTTTCTCGGCTTGCTCCCTCCATTATATTGTTTCTTAGCTCCGGTGTGTGGGGCTGGAGCTGAGAAGCAGCAATTTATTGCCTGCCGTACCTCTGTAGCGTAACACCTCAGAGTTCTAAAGCCCTGGATAACATCAAAATGAGAATGGTTTCATTTGTAATACTGACAATAAAGCGTATTGTGTCGTACTTTAGATAAAGCATTTGTTATTGCTATTGTTCTGTAGGAGAATCCTCCAATGCAGTATATATAAAGTGCTAGCTCATTCTGAAGGTGAACTTGTGTGACTTAGTGTCTCTATTTTCCTTTTTTTCTCAGTGGGAGGAAGTTAGCGGTTACGACGATGCCATGAACCCTATCCGGACATACCAAGTGTGCAACGTTCGTGAGCTTAACCAGAACAACTGGCTTCGCAGCGACTTCATCCCTCGAAAGGACGTTCTCCGTGTTTATGTGGAGATGAAGTTCACCGTACGAGATTGCAACAGTATTCCCAACATTCCAGGATCATGTAAAGAGACCTTCAATCTATTCTACTACGAGTCCGACTCAGATTCCGCCACATCTACCAGTCCTTTTTGGATGGAGAACCCTTATGTTAAGGTGGACACCATTGCTCCGGACGAGAGCTTCTCTATGTTGGAGTCTGGCCGGGTCAACACCAAGATTCGCAGCTTTGGTCCAGTTTCCAAGGCTGGCTTCTATCTGGCTTTCCAGGACCTGGGCGCCTGCATGTCTTTAATCTCCGTCCGAGTTTTCTACAAGAAGTGTTCCACGACCATTGCCAATTTTGCTGTCTTCCCAGAGACGGCCACAGGAGCTGAGGCTACGTCACTAGTCATTGCCCCCGGCACTTGTGTGCTGAATGCTCTGGAGGTGTCTGTCCCTCTTAAACTCTACTGCAATGGAGATGGCGAGTGGATGGTTCCTGTAGGTTCCTGCACTTGCATGGCTGGGTTCGAGCCTGCAGTTAAGGACACACAGTGTCAAGGTGAGTGCTGATATATGTGTTTTTCTCACTGTGCAATTTGTCTTATCTCTCGGTATCACATTAAGCCAAATGGACGAATCATCCTGTTTTTTTTATTGAGGTCTTTGGCCTAACAGCAAATTTGGTTATTCGACCTCAATTTAAGCAGAGCAAAGCAATGCATAAGTCTGTATGTCTATCAGAGTGGAACATTTTGCTGAGAGAAAGGAGCGGTCTTGATGAAAAACATATCAGGTTCAGGCTGAGGTGAATTAAGCCGGCGTGTAACATAGCCGCGGTGAAAGTGAGCAGAGCAGACAGCGGGAGGTCAAGGGTCAAATGGAGAGCTGGGAGTGAGAGGAGACCGGAATCGATTTGCGGACCAAGGGCAAGGGCTGCAGTGAAACATTAATGAAGAGCACGAGATGGAGAAAGAAAAGTAACCCTGACAGTCAAGGCACCAGAAGTGAAAGGTCGCAAAGAGACAGTTGGTTCCAGCACATTAAAAGTACTACAAAGACAGAGCCACTGAGCAGTGAACCTCTGGGGTAAAGAACTAAACTGAACAGCAAATTGTTTGTGTATAGAGAAAAGAAGATTATTTGTGGTGTATGAGGTAATCATAACTGTTATGCTTGTTCATACAGAGGGTTGGAGATTTACACAAACGCTTAACCCTGAGTATTAATAGTGTGTAGTTCGCCCTACACATACATAAATGCTGCTTTAAACTGTATACTACTAATTATAAAAAATATAAATAAATAAATAAATATATATATATATATA